AAAAAACCTAAGAACCTCTACATTAGATTTATCTTTTCAAATCACACAGAAACCTCTGTTCCCCTACTTTTCTCTTTTAGTGAGGGGGAAAAGCCCTAGCTCCTCTGATATGGAATAAGGGCCCCAACACCTCGTGACTCATAAAGCGGCTGCCTGCGATGTGCAGCTATTTAAAGGAACGGAATGAAACATATCATCCAGACGTGGTGGCCCAGGCTTGTAAACCCAGCTACTCGGGAGGTTAAGACAGGTGGACTGCAAGTGCAATGCCCTCCTGGCTAATGCAGTGGACTCAGGAATGGCCTGGGGAAGCTAGAGAGACTGGTTTCAGTTAAAAAGTAAAAAGTAGGCTGAGGCATTTGCCTAGCATGGGCAAGGCTCTGGGTTTATGCCCATTGTAGCAAATAATAAAGATAACCACATTAAATGTAAAAATATAAACACAGAATGTCTGAGATCTTCATTGCACTAGCCTTATTCCGACCCATGTGGCCTCTGCACGGTCTGGGCAGGTGCTGGACATGGACATCACAGCAAAAGCTCCTCAGGCAGCCATCATAGATCCCAATAGATCTCTACACCAAAAGCAAGCTGTGAATGCCTCATCTTCTGTAGAACACCCCTCTTGGGATCTACTGGCTGGAATTCCTGCACCCCTCAGGGTGCAAAGGGAGCATGAGCTTCTGTGAGAGCTTCTAACATAGCAGGGGGCTCTGGTGTTACACTTGTGTTGACTTTCTCCTTACATCCATCCCAGGCAGGGGCCAGTACCCGCTACACTCGGAGTGAGAGCTACACAGGTAATCTGACTTAAACCCAACCCTTAAGAATTCATAACCCAGTACAGAGGGATACAACACAAACGCGCACACACACATACAAGCACACATGCACCCACGTATACATGCGGTCATGCCTGCTAAATAGGAATGTTTCTGTGGTGGCTTGGCAGTGGTGGCACACGGCTTTAGTTCCAGGCAGAGGCAAAGGTGGAGCTCTGTAAATTCAAGGCCAGCCTGGTCTACAGAGCAAGTTCCAAGACAGTCAGGGCTACACAGAGAAACCCTGTCTTAAAAAAAAAAAAAAAGTCATATAAAATGTAAAAATTATTTCAATTAAAGATGTTAAAATTAGTTTTCATGTATTTTGTAAAATAACTTTTAAAGCACTTTAATATAGTGAAAAATTCAATTCCCTAAAGATTTAAATATTTAACAACCCAAGACAAGGGCTGAAAAGATGATTTATCAGCTAAGAGCACTTGCTGCCCTTGCAGAGGACCTGGGTTCCAGTCCCAATACCCACATGGTAGCTCACAACCATCTATAACTCCAGTTCCAGAGGACCCAATGCTTTTGACTTCTTCTGACCTGTGTGGCACCAGGCATGCATGCAGTACAGACCTGTATTTAGGGAAAACATTCATAGACATACAAGAAAATAATCTAAATTAAAAAAAACTCAAGACGTAGGGACTGCACAAAACAACCAGTGACAGTTGAGAGGTAGTTGAGCTAAGAAAAAAGTGTTAAATGTACTATTAAACACAAACTGGCTGCAGGAGAAGAAAAGCCATAAATGGCTCAGTACTATGAATGTGACAGGATAAGGACCATCATAAGAAAACTTCCAACAACACTCATTCGGGAAACGATGAAGAAAGCTACCAACAGCTCTGTTAAATTCTACGGACTCTCAGCTGTGAGAGCTCAGAGCCCAGGAAACCTGGTGCCAATAAGAGGTGGAGGTAGAGAAGAACTTGGATGGGGCCAAGAAAAGAGAATACACTTCTAAGATGCACCTTACCAAGGATCACGGCATACTTAGCAAACTTTACAGCTTCTGGTATTTGTCTTAGGACCCTATATCTTTTAAAAAATTTATTGTTATTTGTATGTGTGTGTGTGTGTGTATGCATGCATACACACTTGCCTACAGCAGTCAGAAGAGGGCATCAAGTCCCTTAGAGCTGGAGAGGTTATGAGCCCCCTGATATGGGTGCTGAGAACTGACTGTGAATTCTCTGGAAGAGCAGCAAGCACTCTGAGTGATTAATTCTCTTCATCTCCGGGACTTCCCTTTTAAGGTATGTGAGAATTCTGACAGAAAGGGACAGTCCATAAGTTGCTTAATACTTTCACTGAGGACTGATGTAAGGCTGATTGTTGACAAGAAGTCACAATACTGTAACTTGATCTTAAAATGTAAACTCCAAAGGCTATTTCTACACCTAGGAATCTTGGCACCAGAGCTCAGGCAAGCAAACTTCTAATATTGCTGTCATGTTTTAAACATGTTCTAAATTGTACTAGGCCTATTGCCAGAGAAAGCAAGAACCTTTGTGATTTTAGGTTTTGGGTCCCCTTAGCAGAACATCATGTAAGGAAATAAAGCCTGTGGCTAAGAATGGAGCCCATGGGCTGGAGAGATGGCTTAGTGGTTAAGAGCACTGTCTGCTCTTCCAAAGGCCCCAGGTTCAATTCTCAACACCCACATGGCAGCTTACAACTATCTGTAATGCCAATTCCAAGGAATCTGAAACCTTCACACTAATGTACATAAAATAATATATATAATTAATAACTTATATATTTATATAAATTAATATATATATTAATTTATATAAATATATATAAAAGAATGGCCCCCATAGGCTCATGTATTTGAAGGCTTAGTCATAAGGGAGTGGCACTACTTGAGAAGGATTAGGAGGTGTGGCCTTGTTGGAGAGAGTGTGCCACTGGGGTTGGGCTTTGAGGTTTTCAAAGCCCACGCCAGGCCCAGTCTCTTTGTGCTTCTGGATCAGGCTGTAACTCTTAGCTTCTGCTCTAGTGCCAGGTGTGCAGCCATGTTACCCCACCATGATGTTAATGAACTAAACCTCTGTAGCCATGCCACTAATTAAATGTTCTCTTTTATAAGAGTTGCCTTGGTCACGCTGTCTCTTCACAGCAATAGGACAGTGACAACAACATCTGGTCCATGGGGCAATATCTTGGTGAGTCTCTCCCATTATGTCTGTGTGAGGGTGTCAGATCCCCTGGAACTGGAGTTATAGACAGTTGTGAGCTGTCATGTGGGTGCAGGGAATTTAACATTGGTCCTCTGGAAGAGCAGCACGTGTATTTGAATGCTGAGCCATCTCTTCAGCCATGTCTCTCTAATGGAAAAAAAAAAAAAAGATACACATCAGCCAGGAAGCTTACTTGGTGAAAAACATAGACAGTAAACAAGGATTTTCGGACTTGGGTTAGTCAGACTTTTCAGCCCTGTGATAAGCACCTTGGAGAAAACCTCTTACAGTGGAAGGACTTGTTTTAGCTCACAGTTTCAGAGGGCATGGCAGAGCAGGACACATCATGGCGGCCAGGAAGCAGAGAGAAAGAGGGGGCAGAAAGGCTCTGCTGAATTAGGTCTAGTTGTCTTTCTCCTTTTTCTCTTTTTACTCCATTTATGTACCTGGCCTACAGGGAAGTCTCCCACAGAGTGGGCTAACAGGCTCTGCTGATCCTGTGTGGAAATGCCCTCACAGACATGGCTGAAAGTGGCATGCCTTACTAATCTCTGAGGATTTCCCAACCAATCAAGTTAACAACCAAACAGTAACCATCACAACACGCTTGAAAATGACCAATCAAATCACAAATACTTGTGAGCCAGAAAACTTGAGATGACATGAAGAGTATTTCAAAAACGAATGGTTTAAGTATCAGAGAATCAAAGGAGAACCTTGAGCAACTGCACTAGCAGAGCTTGTAAGAAATGACTGCAGTGAGCTTCGAGGTGAAGGCTGCTGTGCAGCGGTGACTCAGCTCCTGGTGGAAGATGCAGCAAAACAACTTGGAGAATGCACGGAGCTGCACGCATGCTCCATAGTTCTCCGACATCCACATCAAATGGTACTTTTAAGCAGCAAGTCCTTGTCAATCTTGCCCTACCGCTACTACTCATGTACTGCCCTGGTCGCCGCTCTGAATGGCCTTCTACAGTCCACACTTTCCCTATACCAGCTCTGCAGTCTCCCCCAGAAAGACTTTCCTCCAGGCCCAGGTCCGTATCTTCAGCTTATTAAAGCCCTGAAACCTTAAGCTCAGTTAAGCCAAGTCTGGGTTAAACATTTCAACTTCTGGATTCTCCAGATGTATGAGGCACCACCTCCAGCATGGCTGCCTTGTCCTCCGCTTCAGTTCTCACTTCTCCTGTGCCAACAGTCCATCGTTCA